ATAATTATAAAAGATATACAAGATATCCTATATAAATTGGAAAAAGTAAGAAAAATATTTCAAAATATGATATACCTTTTAGAACAGATATTGATATTATAAATTCTCAGACATAATTAGAATTTGAAGAATTACTTAAAAATTTATAAGAAGGCTAATAAAAAATAGATTATCAGAAACATACAAAAAATTAGTCTTTATCTTAAAATTTTATTTACACCTAATAGTAAAAATAAAAGAGTTTTTGGAATATAAAAATTTTAGATTTTTAGATTCATGATTATTAGATTTTTAGATTATTATATTTTTGTTCGCTCATAGTAGCACCTGTACAGTTGGTATCAGAGTCATAGAGATCATGAGAAAATATATAAAAAATAAAATTACCTAAAAGACTATGATTTTAGAAATTATTGAAACTTATAAAAATAGAATAAGGTACCAAGTAAAATATAGTTATGACATAGAAGGCTATATAGAAGAAGATAATATAGTTGGAACATATAGTAAAGATATAAACGAAGTTTTAGAAATTTTTAGAGTAATTAAAAATCTACCTTTAGAACTAAAAGAGAAAATAATTAAAAAGATATTATTTGAAGAATATAAGCATATATATATATATATATATAAGAGGGAAATAGATTTTATAATAATCTGAAATTACTATGGAAATCATAAAAATAAATAATTATTATCAATGTATTGAAGAAAAAGGATGTTATATATTTTACAACCCCATCCCTAATAAATTAAAAATAATAACATTATATATAACTAGGAATTTACCTAGAGAAATAAAGGAACAAATATTACATAAATTAATTGTAGGATTTATCAAAGATAGACGTACATATGAAATAATTTGCGAAATATTTGAAAATGAGTTGTATCATAGAAAAATATATGAATCGTCATAAGAATATAATGGAAAAAACTAAAAACATTTTAGAAAGGAAGTTAGAAAGAATAAGATTGATAAATAATAAAATTTTAGATGAATTATTAATACTTGGAGAAAAAACTAAAACTCAAGAAAAGCAAATATTAAAATTAAAACAAGAAAGGTATAAAGAAAAAGCAAGGTATTATGAAAAATTAAAAGAGATATCAAATCCTGAAATTATAAAATAAAAATATGATAAAATGATAAAAGAGTGTAAAAATGCTGAGTATGTAGTATTTTATTATTGTCAATCAAAAAATAGATAAAATGTCAAACAGTGAACATATGGAAGAATTAAAACATTTAATAAGAACATTAATAAATGATGTACAAGAAATTAAGAATGAAGTAAAAGAAGTTATAAATTATATAAATATATTAAAACTCGAAGTCAGAAAATTAAAAGAAAATGAAGAAAAAAATAATAGAGTAGATAAAAAATTTATAGAAAAAGAAATAACCAGAATAGGGAAAAAACATATTGAAAGGAAAAATATAATAATAGAAACAGGAAGCATGGACGGTGAGTTTAGAAAAAAATATTACCTAAAATAATAGAAGAAGAGGACTCTAGAGAAAAAATATTAGGTAAACAAAAAATTGAAGAAAATCAAGACAAAGAAGATGAATGAAGAATTAGATCTACTTATAGATAATTTTGATCATTTAAGTTTAGAAAGTATAGATGATGAATACCAAATCTTAATGAATACTGGAGGAGGACCAATCCCGTAGGAACCTCTAAACAAGAATCAATAGATCCAGATGAAAGCTATGCTCTAATGTATAATAAACCATATAGGCAATTTTATGATAAAATAAGAGATAAACAACCGTCAAAAGGAAATAAATACAGTAATAAATTTGAATTAAATAATAATTATAATAAACCTGTTAACCATGGAGGAACAAAATTAGACTTAGATTGCAAAATAGATACTAAGAGAGCCTTAATAACTTGGGCAGACTCAATGATATTATTCTTTTTATATAATAAAGATGATACATGGGAAAATACTGAAAGGAGAATAGATTTTTTAATTGCATCTTTTGAAGGAAATGTTAGAAATTGGTGGGAAGGAATTAGTAGTGATACAAAATCATTAATAAAAAGAAATGTACAAATAGAAATAATAAAGTCAGATAAACTAGGAATAGAAAGATTGGTAGAATATATTGCAGATGAATTTTTAGGAGAAAATTGGTTAAGAAATTATGAAAAAGAAGCAATACGAGAAAAAGATAATGCAAGAGTTAAGTTAATTAATCTAACAATTTGTGATATGTGTAAAATTAAAGAATATACTTGTGAATTCAAGGAATACTATTATACTCAATTTTATAGTAATGAGAATCAAGAAGTATATCAAGATATGTATTATAATAAATTACCAAGTTCATGGGGAATATATTTTAAAATAGAATTTGAAAAATATATTAAAGAAAATATAGGAATACATAGAACACTAGGATCAAAAATAAAATTCTTGTTTGAAAGATTTGTATATATATGTCAACAAAGACAATTATTGAAAAAATCATGAAAATTAACTAGAATATGTTGTGAAGATATGGAAAAACCCACAAGACGGAGATGTAATTCAGAAAAAATAAATAAAAGAAAGTATAAAAATAGAAAGTTTAAAAAATATAGGAACTTTAAGAAAAAATACATAAAACCTGAAAGGAAATATTATAAAAGGAAAAATGATATACAGAAAAATAAACCTTATAAGAAAAATAAAAAATAATGTAAGTGTTGGAATTGTGGAGAAATAGGTCATATAAGCCCGGATTGCACAAAGAAAAAAGTGAGAATATTACAAAAGGATTATTTTGAAATAGAAAGTGAATTAAGTGAAATATCTGATATTGAAAATTATAATAATCAAGAGATATTTATAAGTGAAGTAGATTCAGAAGATTATGGATCAGAATCTGAATAAAGAAATTGAAGAAATAGAAAATAATAATATAGAAATCCAAGAATATGAGGGAATAGAAGGTTATGGATTAAAAGTAACTTTTGATAATAATAAATTTAGGAAGATACAAAAGTTATCCTTAGATTTAAAAATAGGAAATGAGAAATTCTAGATAGAATATGGAAAAGAGAAAGAATAGCAATAAATGAATACCATAAGATTGAAAAAATCATAGATGTTAGAACTATTCAAGGAACACATAAAATAAACCTTTTAACAAAAAATACAGTATCAGAATTATTATAAAAAATAAGTAAAAAGCATAGTGAAAAGATCCAATATGTTTATTTAGCAGGAATACAAATAATGTTTAAATCCTTATTTAGAGAAGGAATAGATTCACCATTAACCGTAAGTTTACATGATGGAAGAATTATAAATCTTGAAGATGGTCATTTAAGAACTATAGAAGGAAATTTAGCATACCAAAAGCTAATATTTACTTGTTACTCGAAATATTGTGTCTCATTGAAAGATAAAAACTTTAATGAAGTCTTAGGATTACATTTCAAATTACATAGAAATGATATAATGGAACCAGGAGATCAAATTATGACTATGGAATATAGGGCATTATATACATTTACTAATTCTAATTATGGGAATATTTATTCCAATAAACCATATATAGAAATTCATAAGGAATGTAAAGATATTAGTAAAATAGTGGAACCGAACAAACAAATAAATCTTATTTCAGAAGAATATGAATTTAATATAACTAAAAATAAGCCTGAAATAACAGAGTTAAGAGAAGAAGAAGATTATAAAATAACATTTCATAATGGAAGGTTGATAAAGAAATCAAAAAGTCTTAGACTACCTAATAAAAAGGAATATATAGGAGAAACTAATAGTATAAAAGAAATAAAACCTCATAGCAATATTGAAAATATGAAAATAGAAGGAAAATATTTCAACGGTAGAAGGTATATAAAAGGACCAAATATATTGACAGATACAGGAGCTGGTGAATGTCATATGGCTGCAAATTAAAATGAAGGATTAATGACTTACAAGATAGAACCATATGAATATAGAAATTTTGATGGACAATTATATATTACAGAATTAAAGGTAAAAGTACCAATAAAAATATGTGGGATTGATCTTTTAGTACCATGTTATTTAGATGAAAGTATGGATATTGAACCTCATATATTATTAGGAATGAGTTTCTTAAATGGATTAGAAGATTATAGTATAAGAAGAGAATGATTATATATAACTCATAAAGGACAAACTACATTATGTAGAATAGGAAGTGGATGAATAATCAAATTAGTTTTCCATTGACAGTATATATACAAGTTACTATAGTAGAAACAAATATAACAACTTGTGCTTTAATTGATACAGAGAGTGATATAACAATTTTTAAAAATTTCTTAATAAAATCATGGAATAAAAATAGTAAAATAAAGACAACAGGAGTAACTGGAGAAAGTACTCAAATAATTGATAGTGCTGAAAAAGTTAATATAATACTTGGTAGTAAACAAGTTATAATAAATAAAGTATATAATTACAATAAGTTAGAATGTAATATAAATGTCACTTTCCTATTTAAATAAAGGTCCTTTGGGATATATGATTTGGCAATTCATTGTTATGTTTGTCTAATTTAACCGCCACGTGTTAAAGCCGTCATCCACATAGGCTAACAGAACAAATGGTTCCTAGTAAGTGATGAAGTGCAAATTTACAAAGTTCAATGAGTAATTGGGTGCAAAGTAAAGTTGAGTGGGTGAAATGTGACGTCTTGTAAAGTTCGGTAAGTATTCAAACAATTAACTCTTTAACCCGATGAGTGATGAAGTGCAAGTTTACAAAGTTCAGTGAGTAATTGGGTGCAAAGTAAAGTTCAATGAGTGAAACGTGACGCCGTTTAAAGTTCAGTGAGTATTCAAACAATTAACTCCAAAGTTCAGCGAGTAATTGGGTGCAAAGTAAAGTTCAGTAAGTGAAACGTGACACCCTCTAAAGTTCAGTGAGTATTCAAACAATTAACTCAATTTTTGGCCTCAATAAAAATCAGGAAAAAGAAAAAATAATTTATAGGGTTAGGGTTTCATTCTTAATTTTCTTCTCTCATGAAATTCCCCTTTTCTCAATTTTCCAAATTTATCTAGCTCTTTAAGCTTTGATTCCAAAAAATATTTTTTTCTTTACTGCTTATAAATTTTTATCATTGAAGAATCAAAGTTTCAATTTGTCAGGATTTCATAATTTTTCGTAGATACATTTATATCATTGAAGAATCAAGATCGGAGCTTTGCATTGTACTATTTTGTTTTGTGGTTTAATATTAAAGTTAGTACTTTCTTATTTTGAGGTTTTAATTTTTGTTCTTAGTTTTTGAAATTAAAGTTAGTTCTTGTTTTCGTGCAATTACAGAGTCCTTTATAATACCGTCAGTGTATTTACATTCAACAAAAAATTGGGTGTGCATCAGTTTATTTTAAGGCACATTTTGAAGTAGAATTTGTATTCTTTTAGTGGCGATTTGAGTTTAGGTAGTAATTTTATGATATCTGCGTTAAATTTTCAAGTGTTATGAGCTGTTTGGGAGTTTAAAGAAGCGAATGGGTACTGGCTTTCCTAATAATTGTTTGATTTTTGATTTTTTTTGGATTTTATTATTGGTATTGTAAAATTATTAGAACGTACGTACTAAATTCTAGTTTCTTTGGGGGGAATTTTTAGTAATATTTTGGAGTGAATGTATCCTTCTGGAATGAATTATGGGCGTGAAAGTGGCACATTGTTGATTCCCGCCCGTTTTGTGTGGTCATATGGTGTGAAGAGCGTGTATATCACTGGCTCGTTTACTGGGTGAGAGTTAATTAGCTCTACAAAAAGAACTATTCCCTACCTGTTAAATTTACAGCTTCTTTAGTCATCATTTTAGGATATTTTGGTTGTTGGTTGTGTTAAATTGTTTGTATGGTTGATCGGATATACTGTTAATCTGTTAAAGGTGGACCGAATGGCCTATGACTCCTCTTGAAGGATGCCCTACCGTGTTTCAGACCATTTGTAGCCTGCCTTCCGGTTATCACCAGGTTAGTTATTTAATGTGGCATTGTGTTACAGAGTTTTAAGTGCTTCATTAATGACTTGCTTTTTCATGATTAGATATGATAAAAGCTACTACGAAAATTTGATTATTCAAACGCGATATATTTTTTGGATTTTTCTTCATAAAGAAAGACGCTGATTTTCGATGAATTTTGTTTTTATTTTAGGGAACAATATGTTACTATATAAACAAAGGATGCTGACAACGTCTTCTTATATCATTAATTTTATGACCATCTAAGATATAAAGATTAATGACTCGCAAAGATGAGACTTATTTATGGTCTCGGTTGTTTACTCTGTTCTAATCATTATGGTTGTCCTATGATGATCTTGTGTTGTACTTGGGCTTATATTTGACTAAGCGGATGAAGCTGCTATCCTCCTATGTTTTTAGCTATAGTTATCTTTCTGTATTTGTTGGATGACATTGAAAGATTTTTTTAGCTCATGGAAGGAAATTGCAACGAAGTTATAAGAATATATTCCGAATTTCAGATGCTGGTAAAATAACAAATATATCCCTTGAAAGGCCAAGATAGAGAGGATAAAGTGCAGATTTTGCACGAGAACTTTTAAGATTGAGCCTGGCAATTGGAAGAAAAATATAAGAAAAAGACGATTAACTAAATGCTAACTGTCATTAATCAAATAAGTTTGAAACATGTGAGACGATTCAAATGTGTGAAAGAGCTAAAATATGCTTTGGCCAATTCAGATTATAACTAGTTGTTTAGACTATGAGATTGCAATGAAAAATACACTAATTGTGGGCCAGAGCAGGTGGCTAAAGATGACGGGATAAAATTTTGGATGCGTCTCATTTTACTCTTTTTTAGGTTAATAAGTTATTCTTGAAATGAAATTTTCTACCAGAACCAAACTATGTATCTTTCACTAATTTTATTCTTGTTTTCTTATGGAGAAATGAACAATTCCTTGACCTACAAATTGCGTTATGTCAAAATATCAATGTTGACACTGGAAAACAAATAAAACCCCATTTAGTTTAGGAGCTATTACTATGGTGATTTCAGCTGGAGGATGAACTTATTCCTTTCATAAAACGGAACCGTGAGAAATCTCACACAATCATATCGAAAATGTAGAATTTGTTTTGATTATGTTGGGTTGTTCCTCAATAACCCCCCCCCCCCCCCCCCCCCTTTTTTTTTAATTTTCAAAATTTCCCCCCCCCCCCCCCTTTTTTTGAGGAAATCTTTGTCCTTGTTAATAATGATACTTTACCTGCAGTACAAATATATTGTGGATGGTGAATGGCGACATGATGAGCACCAGCCTTGTATCAATAGTAACTTCGGAACTGTGAACACTGTCCTTTTAGCCAGGGAATGCGATTACCTTCGGGCAATTGTAAGTCAGCAAATGCCTTCTGGTTCTAGCATGGATGTTGATAATGCAGCCCTTCAGCGTGTGGTATGTCATTAGTGTTTTCATACATTTTCTTTCAGAAATGTTACCTGGTACTCCATTTTTGCCCATGTGCTTTATGATTTGATCTGATACAAAATAACTGGCTGGACAAAAACTATAGGCTTTGGATGCCCAATACAATCATTGCTTGTTCCGTCCCAAGAAACACTTTTTTGGTCAAACAAAAGTATCTAGGCGACTTAATTTAGCTTCCGTGTGTGTTGTTCGTTGCCTAGGATGAATCCTACTTATTCTATAATAGTCTGAAGTGATTGAAGATTTTAGATTTGCAAGTTTTCTATTTTGGGTCATAGTTATTAAGCCTGGACCTGACTGGCTTGTCCGACAGGCCAGTAAACTGGCGAACTGAATCCTTGTCTTGTCAGGTCAGCATATTAGGGCCACTTGGTAAGTGAACTGCCCTTGACCCGTCTGCACCGGCCAGGTTAAGGAGGAAACCCGTTAACCCGTTTGACCAAACCCACCAGTCCTTTAAAATTTTCAAAATGGAGTGCCAAGTTTCGGATCCAAAACCTCAGCTTCCTTAAGCTGAGGTGTTCCGCTAGACTGCCCCATTGGTTTATAAAATACCATCTACAATAATGTATAAACACGTGAAGCTTATTTGAGGTTATTGTTTATTTAGTCCTTGTTTGGCCCCCATTTTATGAAACTCATTTTTAACCATACATTTCATATGACTCACAACTTTTATCAACTTTTTAACTACACATTTCATTAACTTCATCAAATCTACTGAATATCTGATTTTTATCTAAACCAAACAATAGTTTAGAGTATTTTAGATTTTATGTCTTACATAAACCATTATGAACAAAGTTTCATGAAGAATAGGAAATGAAAGCTATGAAGCACAGACAATCATATTAGGCTGGCGTGCGCTTTTGTCCAACATGTGTCTTATCGTGTTGAAATCAACACTCCTCATATCCAACACAACACGTGGTGTGTCATTTTCTATATATTTTTTAAACTTCTGATGCTCTGGACAATTTAGGGACATCTCTGGCATGTACGCAACATGCCATGCAGCGTATTCTATATTGTTGTACCTGTCTAAATAAGTCAAAATTATGTGAGAAAAGTTCTATGAACTTCCTGTCAAATATTTTTGCAATTATACATTTTTCTTTATTTTGCAGTGGCAGTGTTATCATGTAGTTTAGCTCGAAGTTATTTTAATGTAACAAATAGCTACTCATCCAATTTAAAAAATTTCATCAACAAAATCCAAGAACAAATTGACGTGTTCTTCACAAGTCCGTGTCCTCTTTTGAACAATTATGTGATGTGTCCTCGTGTCCGTGCTTCTTAGAATGAAAGACTAAAAAATAATATTGATACAACTATATAATTTAAGCATATATGAAAAGCTTACAGATTTTAGATTTAATTTTTGAAAAATAGAAAATTTGAGAATTTATAATATTCCAATTACTAAATGATTTTTTATTAGTATCCGTTTTGACTTTTAAACTTTTGATTACATCTATGCCTTTTAAAAAAATAGAAAAAATATCATTCTTTTTTTTACCAGATAGAACCAATGAACCATTGACCTGGTCTTTGGCCGGGTCTCATAACTATGCTTGTGGTATTTGGTTGTCTTCCTTATTTTAGATCCATCTACCTTAGTTCACATCTTTTAGAGTGTCTTTCTATCTGTTACAGGTCCAAGTATCAGAAGGTACATTGCATGAGCCATTTTGTAGAATTTCAGAAGATGATTTACAGATGTCACGACATCGTATAGCTGTATTCATGTCCACACACCTGGCTTATGAGTTGCTTCCGGAATCAGGCAAGGTCAGGACAAATTATGCTTCTCCATCCATTTTTCACATGGACATCCCTCTATTGTTCTTTTTTTTTTTTTTTTTCTTCTTCTTCTTTTTTTTTTTTTTTGTAATTTGGAATTTTCATGATGTAATTACATTCGAATTACAGGTAATTGCTTTGGATGTTGACCTACCTGTGAAGCAAGCATTTCATATTCTGCACGATCAGGTATTTTTATTATTTATTTGAGGATTGAAGTTATCACAAATTTCGCTATGGATATGAGAAATATATTACCAAGTGTTGTGGGTCTAATTACAGTGTCAGGCTGGTTCCTCAGCTTCGTTACTCTTGTAGAACTTTCTGGATGAATCTTAAAATTCAATCATTTAACAAAAAGCGATATTTGGTTGTCATAAATAAAAAGAAATGTCTGCGGCTATTTTTGTTAGTTTGGTTACAAATGTGCAATTTGAGACGGAACAAGAATATGAAAAACAATTTCAAACTAAGGTATTGTAAGACCATTACAATTTGCTGTTCTTTGAGTTTCTGACCTTGTTGTCTGACTGTTGTGATGATGTCAACAAAATTACAAGTTTATTTTTGGTATGCATATGGTGCTGTATTTCTCTTATGTGTTCCTCAACGCAACTAAGAATCCACAATGCAGTATTTGTTAAATTTCCCGTTCTTTAAGCTATCCTACCTCCTAGGAAATAGCGTTTTAAACTGTATCTGTCATTCATCCATTCTTCTTGATATTTTTGTGCATTTACTTTGGATACCTCATTTACATCCGCCTCTTTTGAGTGATTTTTTTTTTTTTTTTTTTCAAGGGAATACCTATGGCCCCTTTATGGGACTTCAGCAAGGGGAAGTTTGTTGGAGTTCTTAGTGCACTGGATTTTATTTTAATTATGAGGGAGGTATGTAAGTCCTTTTTCAATTTTTTGGAACCTAGATACTGAATACTAGCTTTGTTAACCATTTTGTCCTTTGGTTTTGTTTCATTCTTACTTTTTTAATGACTAATGAGAGTTTCTTGCACACAAGCTTCGATTACTTTTTATTGATAAACTCATGGTTTTGTTACTGATTTGTTTTCCTTGAAGGAAAAACTTTTCCCTTTGATATATTCTGTAACCTTACGACCATAGTGATCTAGTTTCTTATTTTTCTTCATTCTAAGCTGGAAGGGAAAATAGATATGTTAGAGAGTGTTCTGGAACTCTAAATGATGCTGTGATTGTCTGGGATTTGAAAATATGGATAAACACGAAAATCTTTTTTTTTTTTTAAATTCTCTTTTAATTATGACACTTCATCTTCACTAATATTTAAAAATGCAGGAAGGGTTGGGGTTAAAGGTACTTTTATAACCATACTTTTTCGGGTTCCTATATGATCTTGTACCAGTTTTTGGACATACATATAGACTTAAAACTGTGGTTTTCCTGATTCCCTTTGATGCATATGGCAGCTTGGAAATCGTGGTTCAAATTTGACGGAGGAAGAACTTGACACAAATACAATATCTGCTTGGAAAGAAGCAAAAACATATCTGAACAGACAGCTTACTGAACAACAGGTTGCAGTTTCAAGACGTCTTGTGCACGTAAGTGTTGATTCTATTTGTCGAGCCTCAACATTGAAATTTTATTTTTAACTGGTTTTGACTTTTACATCCTGATGATGACTGAAGATGCTTGGTTGGCCACTATACATGAGACCATATTATGTTTATTCTTTTTTTTGCCTCAAGTATTTATGCATTTAGAATATCTCAGTTGATTATAGATTATGAAGAGGATGGATGTTGAGTTGGTGGGTCAAAAACGAGATTTAATGACTGGGCATGTCACCCGTGCTTATTCTGGTCGAAAAAAGTAGTTTTTCTTTATTTTGCGACAAATTCTGTATCACAGTCATATCTCATATTAGCCATGTCTCCAGGTTCTTGTCAAATTTGTTACATTTTAGTGTGACTTTTGATCTTGATCAACATACATTGTATTATTATTCAGGCTGGGCCAGATGATAATATCAAAGAAGTTGCATTGAAAATTTTGCAAAACGGTGTGGCTACAGTTCCTATAATTCATTCACCTTCAGAGGATGGATCATGCCCGCAGCTACTACATCTAGCTTCTCTATCTGGAGTACTAAAATGTGAGAAAAGCACACACAAATTTGTTTATATGTATATTGAGAACGGTTTTTGCTATCCTATGCTAGAGAGGAGAGGAGGAGGATAGTGCCCTACCATTTTTCTTAGTCTCATGTTGCCATCCACTTCTTCGAAGTTGGAGAACGGATCTAAAGCAGAAAAGAGGAAAATACAAGATAGAAAAAAGGAAAGAAAGAAGATTTCGGTCTGGTAACGTTATTTGCTTTCTCCGGCAGGATAATGCTGTTTACTTTTGGAACCGATACACCGATTAGAATTTGGGAAAAAAGTTGGGTAACATTTGTCCTGTTGGCTGTCGGGATAACTCCAATGCCTGTTTTTTGGGTCATTGTGCAGTCAGTGGAATTCTAATGCAGTCTAGCCTTGTGGATTGAAAGTACTAGTTTTTTCTGTCTTTGTTCTTTAAAATTGGGGAATTGAAAGTCATGCTTTAGGAAAGAAAAACTGTATAAACGTGTGTATATGTGGGCCAAAAGTGATGCATTTTATCTTCACAATTCTGCCTTTTTACAGGTCTTTGTCGGTATTTCACGCACTCACCAGGGTCATTACCAGCACTTCAAATGCCAATTTGTGCAATCCCAGTTGGAACTTGGGTTCCCAGAATTGGAGAACCAAATGTTCGGCCATTGGCTGTGTTGAGGTCGAGTGATTCCCTTAGTGCAGCACTGAATTTGTTAGTTCAAGGTATGCATTTAGTTCATTGAAGAGTTGGATTCTCTAATACCTTTTCCAGAAATTGATGATAACTGCTGGCATTTTCTTGAATTTGTTTCAATATATTATTTCTGAATTCACTGCTCTCTAGGTACACCTTGTTGATCAAAGGTATTGTATATGTAGGCATCATTCTAAGACATTGCTTCAAACAGTAACCACTTCCTAGTGTTTGTTTATGAAGCATTTAGATTTAGAAATAAAATTTTCTTTTATATATATATATATATATAACTTATGTCTGGCTTCTTTGCAGCTCGAGTAAGTTCAATTCCCATTGTTGATGAAAATGATTCATTGTTGGATGTTTATTCTCGAAGGTTAGCATTGCAGTTATGATACATGGGAAATTTTGTTTTATGACTTTCTGATCTGCGCCAGTCACTTTTCATAGTATGAGCTTATTTCACCATTTTGACAGCGGTATCACTGCTTTGGCAAAGAATAAAAATTACGTGCACATTAATCTTGATGAAATAACTATTCATCAGGTGAGCATATTGATTGTGTTGCATATGTGATACAACATCAATGGACTTTTAAATATTCGCTTTATGGCAACGCAGTGTTTGGATATATTTGATACCCTTATCTACTAATCCAAATTAGACATAAACAACATACTTGATATTTGTCCCTGAGCTACTGACCACTTTGAATTTCAGGCATTGCAGCTTGGAGATGACCCTCATTCAACTAATGGAAACAGCATTCAAAGATGTTACATGAGCTTGAGATCCGATCCCCTATTTAAAGTTATGGAGAAATTATCCAAGCCAGGTTAAACTTTTCTTCTCCTTTTGTTTTTCAAAATAATCGTCTTTGTCGTTGGCAATATGTTCCTTCTTGGGCAAGAGTGTACATATGTAGTAGCTCACTGAAGGTTAAGCATCACACATAATGCTTAGTTCATTCACTTCGGTCCCGTTTGATTACACGAAATTTTCCATGGAACTTGGAATTCGAATTCCAACTTCCACTTTTGGTCTGTTTGATTGACAAAATTTTCCAGGGAATTGATTTTCCATGAATTTCTAGGTACAACACTTTAAAGCGTGATTTTCCACCTTTTTTTCCTAGGGGATAGGTGGTTTTTGGTTTTCCACCTTATTTTTATTTTATTTTTTTTGCTTTTTTTATTTTTTTTTAATTGTTGGCAATGGGAACAAATTTTAGGAATAATTGTAAAAGAGGATATCCCTGAAATTGACAATTTTCACGTAAAACAAAGTCAAACGAACATCAAAAAATACTTTTACTTCAACATTTTTCACATGAAAAATTTATACAATCAAACACAATAATTTACAATTTTCATGAAAACAATTTCTAGGTAATTCAATTCCCTGGAATTCATTTTCTTTCCATATAATTTTCCTACTTGTAATCAAACGCACCCTTCATTGTTGGATTTTCTTGTTTGTGCTATTCTTGACAATCAACTGTATCTTTTGGTCAATTTCTCACAATGCATGAACAGTTCATGCTTCATTTAGGGAAAAAACACTTTTAGCAACTCAATTTTTAGTGAAGTTTCATGTTGGTCGCTAAACTTTATTTTGTTCCAAAGAGGGTGTTCCAATTTGGTCACTCCTGGAAATCTCAATTTTGATGTGACATCAGATTGTCATATATATTCCATTAGAAAGACTAACACATTTGAACAGAAGGACAGAAAGCAAAAGCTAATTGCTTTTCAACCCTATTTGTTTTTCAGGTGTCAGACGGCTCATTATTGTGGAGGCTGGAAGCAAGCGCGTAGAAGGCATTGTTTCGCTAAGCGATATTTTTAGGTTTCTCTTGGGGCTTTGAGAAAGCTGACAACTGCATATTTCATCGTGGCACCAAATTACTAAACCAAGGCCTGATGAAAGTCATATTTTATGCCATCTGATCTCTATTCTTTTGTAAATACAATTGGATTGGCCTTGAATGCCCTGGTTTCTTAGGTCAATATGCTGAAGAATTAGTGATGTAAATTGTAATATTTGGGGTTTTCCTGGATTTTCTGGTTTCCCCTCTAGCTGTTATAACCCAGGGCTCTGTGGTCAATATAGCTGCCATTTTTGTGGAAAGAAAGTCTTGGAGCTGTTAACAGTTGGTCTTGTTTTGGCCCTAAAATCAAATCTTAAAACTTTATCAATCTGTGTATAAATGTTTTGATTCAGAGAATTTTCAGTCGATAAAATCTTTACCATGAGATGCTGAATAGCAGGCAGTACAAAAAGACGTTAAAAATAATATTGGGAGCACATTATACTGTGATTTCAAAATAAACTAGTTTTGCAGTATATCAAAAATATTTGTTATTCTAAATTTTTTTTCTATGTAAGTTACTGTCCCATCGAATTGCATCCCTCGACTATGTCTCTGCCCCTTCTCCTCTTTTCCTTTCCTCTCATCACGACCTAACGTGTGAGAAATATTGGTCTTAAATGCACATCTGGTAAGAAACCACCTGCAAGGATCGCCGTCGCCAGAGAAAACAAAGAATGGACATATCAATATTGTTCATTACAGCAGTGGCAATTAGAGATGGATATGATTCTTGTTGCAAATCAACTGAATTGTTAGCCATCAATGACCCTGAGTCTCGCGTAGCTAAGATTTGACTCACTCAGAGATCTATAATTTAAGAATTTGGATAATCACTGTTCTTTTACTAGTCAATTTTGAATGTGATGATTGATATACACACGAATTTATCACTAAGAGACCGACCGAGTTCCCCCTCTCCAGATGGCCCAACTTGCAGCATGACCCACAGTGTCTGGCTAAACAAAGCCGGGCTAATTTACCTTGTTCATACTACAAGAAAATCAGATCTCTCTTTTCCTGGAACCAAAATTGGAAAATATAGAATCAAGTGGAGTAAACAAATACAGGACAGGATCAAATGTGTGTCTTTTTCCTAGATTTACGACTTTCTGTGCATATTGTGTAAGTATCGGGGGATTAAGAATATCCTGTAAGCAATGCATTCAGTAATTTGCAAGTCAAAAACATGAACAATATCACCTTTTGTTGTATCTGAAGTTAGAAATTGAGTTCAAAATTGAAACAAGTACAATGACAAATGAGTATTAATCAGTATTAACTAATTAGTTAGATGAGAATGGGTATGATCTTTTGTCAACATTTATGGGTACATTTTGTTGAAATAGGTTTGAGAGAGTTGGAAATGGAAACTCGAATATCGAACGCGAGAACACAACACTAAACTTGAACATCGGCAAAAGTGAATAACTCTTGAAAGTAACTCGATCACTTTAAAATTATTCATGAAATTTTAAGGTTACTTAGGAAGAAAGAGGATATGTTTTCATGTTAAGAGGTGCTTAAAATTGATCCCTAATCACATATTTATCGTTTAATGACACTAATTCGCGATAATAATTCATAAAAGAAGTGACTGTTCTCGAAAGGGCACGTAAATTTTGAACCAGAAATTACATTGTATAAATATTTTAATTCAAGTTTACATGTTTGTCATCTTCAAATTTGTTCCTCAAAACCACAAACTTTCTTTAAGTTTACGTTTAAGTCCAAAACTCCTTTCAAAGTTTATAGTGACCTATTTAAACTTTTATTATCACTTTTTATTTGAACAATTTTCTAACAAATTTTACACTTTATGTCACATGAAAATTCTAAATTTTAGCCTTCATATTGAGTTGCCTCATGGATTTGAATAAGTAAACAAAAATTATTTATGTTAGTGTAATAAATTTGATATGACCGAATACGTTTAAGAAAGAATGATAGCATACAATCTTGAAAAATTAATGTCCATAGTACCACGAAAAACATATTAAATTCATAGTATATTAGTAATCAATCAATTAATAAATTAATAATTATGAAGATATCCCCTATGTTGTCAAGATATTATGAACTTTCTATCTTCGGTGAGTTTTGTTTCAATAAGTAAAAGTCATGAATATAATCCAAAAAGGTTGAAGATGATAGTTTTACTATGAATCTCGTCTCACTCAAAGAAGCACTCAAAGTAATATAGTCCCACATAATAATAATTTCTTATTGCAACATGAGAATGCAACACCCTTCATGTGAATTTTTGCATGTTAACTTACGTAGTAAATTGGTCTTAGAAAGTTCAATATTTTGTCTTATAAATCTATTGAATTACTAATGTAGCTCGTTGGCCCTAGTGTGGGCAGTGTGTTGAGTCGAGCCGGCACAGGCATTCATCCTTGAGCTCGATTTGTCTTAGCAGCTCGCGTAATAGGGGATAAGTTGCATATATATATATATATATACACACACACACACACAATCATCGATTGAAATATTAGAAAATACTGAGAAATATGATAAAACCCTCATCATTATTAGCATATCTATTGTAATTCATTCGAAATAGATTAATAAAATGTTGCGAAACTAATATAGAACACAAGTCTTAATTCACTAATTGATACAATACTTTGAAGTATGAATATGTACTACATTTAAAGTGTGACGTGTCCCATCAATTTATGGCACCTAAAAAGTGTTTAGCACCCCATTGTGTCCATAGCATTACCTTTCGAAATATGGTAAAAAATATAGGAAAAAAACATTGTTTATTAGAAAGAATTGAGAAGAGCAATGAAAATGAAAAAGTGAAGAACTTTTACAAATTATACTGCTGGAGAGTGGTATACAAAATTTTGGAATACAGTAGAAAAGTGTGAAGAAATAGTTTGACAAATCCCAATTCATAGACGGAAACATAAGGAAAAAATCTAAACTTAATTTTCAAATTTAGGCAGTCAACGATTGCTTGAATTTGAATTGATGGTACTTACGACTGGTGCCATCAAATCGATGCCTTGCAATTTTTATGTTGAGCTGCTTGCAAGATCAACTTGTTAGTACGTGAAATTGGCCACTTATTAATGGACTTGTGAGTCGACGAGTGGCTCGTACAAAAAAATTTTGACCCGACAACACTCACTTCAGAGGTAAGAGCAAGCTGCATGTGTCGTGCTGGTGAGTCGAGAAGCGGCTTGCACCCATTGCCAACTCTAGTTGGCTCCTAGTTGAAACAGGTAAAAACACCTATATCATTTTTCCCACGTTAGAAACCCATAAAAAAAAAAAAATAATAATAATAAATATATATAATAATAATAATAATATTAATAAGAGTGAAAAATATCACACACACATAAAGGCAGCACACAGTAAGATGGGGTTGTACCGTGTACATACAGACAAAACAATGGAAGGAAAACACGTTTATTTCCTCTATTAAAAGTCGCTATACGTTTTTCTTATAGTTGGTTGAGACTTTCTGTTTTAAAAAGGGTAAATTGTAATCATTTTCGTTAGAAAATATACACAAATACTGGGGTTTGTTTGTAGTTACCTCTGCTGAATTACTCTCCCCTCTCCCACCGCACCCCACCTCACTCCTCACATCTATGAAATTTACTCGCAGAATCTCACTTCTGTATGCCATTGATGGCTTGTAAAGACTGATATCTATATATAGGTGTATTGTATTATAGTGTGTATAGTTGTAAAAGAATTGAGAGGTACAGCGGGACCGAGGCAATGGAGGGGGCACCAGTGGATCCGATGGTGGAATGGGGCGCTCCCGGTGGTGAAACCGGGCTTGAAGGTCAGTGTAGGTTGAATTTCGCCTGACTAGAATTGGATTTTGTAATGCAGAGTGAAATTTAATTGATTTGAGGTTTGATTTTGTAAATGCAGAGCCTATGTGGCAGCTGGGTCTTGGGGTTGAGCCCGAGTCGTACCCGGAGAGGCCGGGTGAGCCGGATTGTGGTTATTACTTGAAGACTGGATTCTGTGGGTACGGTGCTCGCTGTCGTTTCAATCATCCCCGTGACAGGAGTGTGGTAAAATTTCTCAAATTTCGTGTGTCAAAATTTGATCTTTAGGGCTCAACTTTGACTTTTTGTGGCAGGATTCGTGTGATCGTGTAGTGTTGGATTGTGCTAATTACTGTGAATTTATTCCATTTTTTAGTGGGGGTTTTGTGTAGATTTGATTTTAATATATATAAAAATTAATCTTTTTGAGTTTTATTTGAGTTCATAATGGTTTTCGCAAGAAAAGATATACTAAATTGAAAAATAAAAAATAAAAAAATGGCATTGCGATGGTTTTGATGCAGTAAGATGGATTGATAGAATTCAATTGTGTTTCAATACAGGTGATGAGAGCATTGATGGCTAGTGGTGGTGATTACCCAGAACGTGTTGGTCAACCAGTCTGCCAGGTATGCATTTGCATGAAATTAATTTTGTAAACAGAGCGCAGCACACAGTAAGATGGGGTTGTACCGTGTACATACAGACAAAACAATGGAAGGAAAACACGTTTATTTCCTCTATTAAAAGTCGCTATACGTTTTTCTTATAGTTGGTTGAGACTTTCTGTTTTAAAAAGGGTAAATTGTAATCATTTTCGTTAGAAAATATACACAAATACTGGGGTTTGTTTGTAGTTACCTCTGCTGAATTACTCTCCCCTCTCCCACCGCACCCCACCTCACTCCTCACATCTATGAAATTTACTCGCAGAATCTCACTTCTGTATGCCATTGATGGCTTGTAAAGACTGATATCTATATATAGGTGTATTGTATTATAGTGTGTATAGTTGTAAAAGAATTGAGAGGTACAGCGGGACCGAGGCAATGGAGGGGGCACCAGTGGATCCGATGGTGGAATGGGGCGCTCCCGGTGGTGAAACCGGGCTTGAAGGTCAGTGTAGGTTGAATTTCGCCTGACTAGAATTGGATTTTGTAATGCAGAGTGAAATTTAATTGATTTGAGGTTTGATTTTGTAAATGCAGAGCCTATGTGGCAGCTGGGTCTTGGGGTTGAGCCCGAGTCGTACCCGGAGAGGCCGGGTGAGCCGGATTGTGGTTATTACTTGAAGACTGGATTCTGTGGGTACGGTGCTCGCTGTCGTTTCAATCATCCCCGTGACAGGAGTGTGGTAAAATTTCTCAAATTTCGTGTGTCAAAATTTGATCTTTAGGGCTCAACTTTGACTTTTTGTGGCAGGATTCGTGTGATCGTGTAGTGTTGGATTGTGCTAATTACTGTGAATTTATTCCATTTTTTAGTGGGGGTTTTGTGTAGATTTGATTTTAATATATATAAAAATTAATCTTTTTGAGTTTTATTTGAGTTCATAAT